CATAGGATTCAAAGCGTAACGGTCGAAATTGCGTGCGAGCTGGGCTTGAATCCAGCACCTGTTCCAAGTGATGCCAGCTATCTCCTGAAAACAAACTTGCGACCCATATGCCACTACTGACTGGGGTCAATTGCATAGATTGAATCCACCACTTGTTCAATTGACGCATCCACCACTGCGCCGCACGATCAATGCTATCTCTTTGCGAGACGCCAACTCAAAGGCGCGCTTCGTAGATAGCACACACTGGCCAGAAAAAGTTGCACTTCTTGAAGGCCAGAGCGATTTCAGCTCTTTCCCCCTAGAATCTTTCAGGATGAGACCTTTGGGGGTGGTCAATTTTGGACCCAGGAAGCCGTTGATTATATGTGTCTCGCTTCTGCCCCGAAAACACACACTTGTTAATTCGACCACGGCAAACCCGACCCAGATGTCTCTTTTCACAACAGGCAAGAAGGATAAACGTTTGTTTGACTGAAGTATTTGCTTGGAAAAGGTGCAGAGGACTTGCCACACCAATCAAGTTGATGTTGCGAGCAGCTCTGGGTTCCAGGTTAGGGTTCCGAGGTTTGCTGTTGGGGATACCAGAGCGTAGTGAAAAAGGGCTGATTCTGCCTCGATAAATTTGGAATTTGGAGTGGCAAGCCACTTTGGGGGGTCAGAGCAGGGCGTCTTTCATCCAGGATCGCAGATTTACTAAGAATGTGCATCTTCCTTTGCGTTGTTTGGACATGCTGTTGGGGAGACAGCTGTTGCCAACGGCAGTTGCCATGTGCTCTTGAGGTGCACCTCGTCTCTTGCAACGCATATTAGCCATTATTAGCCTGCCTTGTTTTGCCACATGAAGCTTCGGACATTGGGGTACGACCTCAGGGGCGCATAGCAGACGCCCTGGACATCAAAAAAAAAGAGGAAAGAAACAAAACACCAGAAAAGATAAGGAAACAAACAGCAACGGGCAGCTTGCGGGGAAAATGGCCGACGCTGTTGGTCCGTTGGTTTGTCAGGATGCCATCACGCCTGCGCGCTGAGGATTCCTGTGATCGGAACCCTGGCGCAGGGACTTACCATGCCGCAGATTGGCTATGATTTTTTGTTCAATAGAGAACCACGTTAAAAGTGGTTGGTGGACACGAATCCCCACCTAAGACCTAAATGATGTCCACCGAAGGGTCCCCCATGAAAATTCGTGCACATATCATGTACGGTGAATCAAAGCAATGCACTCGAAGACCGTTGGTTTGATACCATATCGCAGCTGAGGGTCCTGCTCACTGCCTTCTTCTGATGCCTTGGTTTCGATTCAGAGTACTTCAAATCTTGGAGCTCGAGTCGCCATTTCGATGGGCACATTAGGTTCTGCCATATTCAAGTTGTCAAGAGAGGTTCTGCCAAGCAGAATCGCACGTAGAATTGCAGTTTGATAGTGGGCAAAGGAGCGGTTTTCCTTTGCCATTGTTGCAGGATAGCATCAAAATGAAAGGCCCCTCCACACCAAGCTATTGTTTTGTTCGGCTTTTGAAATCTCAAGTGGTCGAGCGGCTCGAAGGCTGAAATGACCGCGTTGGGGACCTTCCGCCCCCCACCTCGTTCGTCAAAGAGAGCTTGCGACATGCGTAGGTGTGTAAGTCTGAGACGTTTGCTCGCTTGCGAATGCGCAGCCAACACCTGCACAGAAGGTTGGGGCTGGTACTGGCTGGTACTTTGCATAAATGGCACCGCCCGCCCTCATCAGCTCTGGGACAAAAAGAGCCGATGCTTGGATGACATCTTGGAGCTGCACCGGAACTTGTCCTGACCCCTTCAGTACACCTCCCGCATGCATTTTTAGTATGTGTACATACTTGTAGGTTCAACTTGGAGCGGCAGCACTCTTTGCTCATGCTTGAAGACATTTACGGCCTTTGCTCGGCTTCATTCGATCTTGTTTGCCACAGAGATTGGCGCAGGTTTGGCTGCATCGTTGTCGCCCCCAGCCAAGAGCCTAATTGGATCTTTGCTGAAGGCGGGGCTCGGATCAGAGATGCAACCAGATCTGGTGGCTTTGGTTGGACCAAGCGTTTTCACCCTAGCAAACAGCCCTTTTCCAACCGACTCCAAAAGCAAAACTGTTGGCAGCGGTCAAAGGCTTGCCCGGGGGTTGTATCTGATCAGTTGCCCTATAAGAAGGGGCCAGGTGGGCACGCCAACAAGGAAAGCTTTCAGTTTCATGTGCAACACTGCCAGCTGCTGAGGCTTAGTTCGCGCAACCAAGTAGTTGGCCAGCTACCGGCAAGTGCGTGAAGACCCTTCCACTTGGTTTAGCTTTTAGAAAACTGCTTTCCTTGCGGAACATGGATTGAGAAGCCAGGTTGATGAACAGGGGGGTAATAGCCCCACAAGTGATCCGGATCCCATATTCATAATAGGAGCTAAGAGCCTAGCGTCACATCAGTGTGCATTGTTGCAAAATGGTACGAATCATACCACATCAGTCCTACTAAATTGCAATAGTGCTGCTAATTGAAACAGCAGACGAAAGCGCAACACTGCATTGGGCAAATCAAACCGTACAATCCAGATGTTCAGAACCAATTCCACCATGAAAGTTACTTGAATGACACCGTGCAGGCCGAATATTTATATAAATGGAACCCGTCCGAAAATATACACCGGACTTGACATTGCGCAGACAAATGTTAGTAGGGAAGCACGCCTTGGTTTCACGGTTTTTCGAGTTTGGTTAGTCTACATGGCAGCGTTGCTGAATTGAAATTGTGCAAAGCAAACATAAACAGCCCACACAAGCAGACGTGCGCCGACATGGCGCTTAGCAAGCCAAAAGCCCTCCCAACATGGTTGATGTTCTTCTGGTGTTCCTGCAACAGCCAACCAAAATGAGGTTCCCGCAACAGCCACACACCCATTTAGCTGGGTAGTGGCATGATGGGAGAAGCGCAAAATGGGCCATGCTCATCAGGTATTGACAGGAGATAAGGATCTACGTCAGCCGTAAACCATGGTCCGAGCTCCCTACGCAGGTTATGGGTTGTGATTCCCTTGATGGTCATGTACCCCAAGGAGGGTGTGAAATGACGAAGTCATGCACGCTGTTGCCTGTACAAACTTGGTGCAAACTGTTGTGTTCATGTAGTACTATGGGGATTTTCTTGTTGCCGGTCATCAAGATTTGGTGAGGATGCAATATCATCCTCTTTGCAGGGTATAGATGATGGTGGATATTGCTTGTATGGGTTTGTCTCAAGAGTGGGAAGAACCAAAATTGATGGTTTCCCAGTAGTTTGTCTTCCAAACAATTGCAAAAAGCAAGCCCTCCAAAACAAGACACACCCATAGTTTATGCCTTCACAGAGCCAGTCGGGATTGCATGCTTCAAATTTTCAGGGTGATGTTGCGGAGCGCTTGCCGGTCCAAGCCTCCGCCAAGCACAACTTTTTCGAGGCAAGTCGGATGCCCGGGCAGGATGCGTCGCATGGCTGCCTTTCAAAGGAAACCTCAATAAGGATGTTTGAGCGACAGTAGTTTCAAGACGTTAAACCCAAACTGGCTAGCCCAAACCTTCCAGCCACCTTTGGAAGACAATTGTGATGGGCTTGAAACCATTGAAGACACACATGGTGTCCTTTGCTCAGAAGAAAGACTGTGAAGGGTAGCCAATAGCTTCGGTGTTCTTGGGTGTCCCTGTAGAGACTACTTTATCCCTGTGACAGGGTTTTGGAGCATGGCCAGATGCATCCTTTTCCATGTGATTCGAAGGGATCAATGCGTCACACGTCCTTGATGTTTGCAACATGCTTGTGTGTGTGTGTGTGTCCAGGGAACTGTAAGGAGCAGCATTCTCCGCGTTGATTGAGAAGACCAAAAAAAAACAAGTCAGGAATGGTTGCACGCTTTGCTTGCCAAATTATTTAACCTCCGAGAAAACATGGACGGGTAGTTGCTTCCCACGTGGGCGACCCTTTCGTAAAGCCCGCCACCTAGG